ACAAATTTTCCCAATTATAAACAGGCAGTTGCACTACAATTAGACTCCTAAGATTATTATGATTAATTGGAGAGGAAAATCTCCCCCCCAACAAGCAACGGTGTTTTTCCCTGAATTGTCCAAAGTGGTCTGTGTTTTGGCCAAATGAATGTAATTGGCTTGACAATGCCTAAAGTCCGTAATCAGCGCTGTCTTCTCTGCCAGTGACATCATCTTTCCAAAGAAAAAGATTTCCACAAAACTTTAGGTTTTTAAAAATGCAACTTCAGTTTTAATAAAATGATTCATTGGTTGCTAAGAAAACCCCAAAGGGTGTTTGTCTTTTTTTCCCTTCTCTCTCTCTTTTTTTTTTTTTTTTTTTTGTTTCCTTTTTCCTTTTTCCTTTTTTGCAAAGCCTGCGAGTTGGCCATTTCAGACACCGTAGTTGCCCTTCTGATTTCCCTGGTATCCCTGCCAGCTTTCAGCAGTGGTGTTTGGTGATGGGCAGTTTGATACTTAGCCTGGTGCCTCAGCTGAGAGGCTGTAGTATATACAGAACACAGGAGCGCAAGGAAGCCTGGGTGAAAGAGCAAGTTGAGTCCCTTCCTGCCATCATCAACTGACCACCTTGTCTTTCTTGATGCCCATTTTTCCCTTGTGGTAGGAGTGCTTGGTTTCTGTTAAAGCTGGGTCTTGCCATGCTGGCATATTTGGGTTGGAGCTGAATTCACCCCTAAGAAAAGCCCATGCCTCCTCTAGGACTCAAGTGGAATAGGTTAAATATAATAGAAATTAGTGCAGATTTTAGTCTAGAGCTCTCATTCATATTTGAGTACAATGAAGTAGATCCTGGGGTTTTGAACGTGAACAGCAATCATATACAGAAAAGGAAAGGTTTCTATGGTCAAAATAACTAGATATACAGAGGGTGGTACACTGTCCAATGTTCTTATAGCGACTAATAGTCTAATTTATTTACAAAAGATACATCTGGTTATATACTAGCATTTAAAAAAATCTGCATTTTTTTTAAAGAAAATTATATTCATTATATACAAGGGCAAACATGCTATCAGTTATTCTTATCAGAGGCTTTTAATAGGAAACTGAACAATCATTTGTCCACATTTATTTTCTGCTATTTCATGTCTGTCTTTTTTCTGTGAAGTGGCATCTCATTTTTTCAGTTACTCCTGACTTCTCTAAAATGCGTATGGCATGCCAGCACGCTTACTAAAAAGGCTTAATTATTCTCTATTCTTTTTTTTTTTGTTTATTTTAAATACACTGCACTTGCTTGTTCCTAATCCTTGAGCTGATCTCTTCTTCCTTCAATATAAATACACTTAAGTAAAATTTACTATCTAGATTGTTAGCTCCAATTCCTCTGACATAAGATACTTTCTAAACAGAAATCTGATTTGGAGCCAGATTAAAAACACACATGCTTGTAGTTTGGGAATTGGTTTTCAAGTTGAGAAGGTCTGCATGAGCAGAAAGTCATCAGTTAGAAGAACTGGTCTGATTCAGACTTGTGATACTGTCCTTGTATCGGGTTTTAGCCTCAATTGTTTTGATTTTCTATCACCAGGGTCCTCCAGGTCCTCCAGGTTTACCTGGTCCATCAGGAAAGAGAGGTCCTCGGGTGAGTAAAACGCCTATGTTCTTCTGTAGCTCTAGGCAGGTCACCAATAATCAGACTGGAGTTTGCATCATTTTGTTTTTCTCGACTTTATTCATATACTTGGTGGTTACGAAAGTGTATGATTCTTAACATTTGACAGATGGGTTAAAGTAAGGCAATGCAAACGAGTTTTTTTTCTGCTGTGAACCTCCAGCAGAGTTAATTCCGTGCATGGGCACGTACACAGAGCATTGTTACATTGGTACCTAGCTTTTGCTGCTCACAATATTAACTTTTAGTTTTTCCATGCTGCTCCCATCTGCTGCAATCTAAGGTCATGTTCATTTGTTTTTGGAACGAGGGGGAGTGAGCAATGCATGCCACAGCCACAGAGGAGCAGGAGGTGGATACAAAATTAACCACTGCAAGACGGGGGGGTGCCGGGGGGGAATCCCCAAAATCTGTTTTAGTCTTGTGTTACAGCAACTTGCTAAAAGGGGTGACAAATAGCTGAGTAATTTTCCCAAGAAATGAGCTACAATAGCAAATGTTGATTTATTTTGTGTGATTGGGTGCACCCCAGCATGAGTGGGGACAGCAGCTTTGCCCTGTGCCAGGGACAGAGCACAGGCTTTGCTGCAGTGAGCAGAAACCCGCACCCCAGCTGCCAGGAGCATGGGAGAAGCCTGTGCCACTGCAAGGACTAGTTGATGGGGTAAAAGAGAGTAAATCTGTGCTTGCGCAATTGCGTACCAAAAAAAAAAATGTCCCCGAGGTTGTGGTTGATTTTGGGAGTTTTAGGGGAAGGGCAGCTGGAGGGAGCAGGTTAGCATTTGTTGTGTAGAAGATTTCAGGCTGTGGTATTTGGGGATGTAAGTGGTTATGGCTGGAGTGCGCTCATCTAGGCAAATCGCAAGTGGGAGATAAGGGAGTAGTTTATATGAAGGCTCAGCAGACGTGTAGGAGGAGTTTTGACTCAGCCTTTGAGGAACGTCTAAACAAGCTGCTGCTCAATATGTGTTGAACATCCTGTGCTTTGCTGGCTTTCAAAACTTGGTCTGACTGGGTAGGGAAGTGCACTGGTCAAAGGGGCCGAAAACCAAACTGATGCTTTAGAGCAGTTGGAGACAAGGGAGTGGACGAGACACATTTAGAAGTATAAAATGAAAAGCATTCCTTCAAATCCGTATCTTCCTGACTTCTTGGATCCTTTTTTCAAAGTATCCTTCTACATAAGAGCTGACAATTCTTAGAACTCAGCTTTTTCCATTGCATGGTGCCTCAGTCAAGGATACATCTGGTATCAGAGGCAGGATCCCACGTACCCAAACAGATCCTCACAAGTGGGAAGTTGCCTGTGGTTTAGAGGAGGCTACTCATATGTTTAAAGCCGTGCCTGTTTGTGAGATCTCTCTTGCTCAGTTGTTGGTTGTTTGGGTTTTGTTTTTTTCTTTTTCCCCTGCAGGTCTTTTTTTACAGGTATCGAGTACTTAGGAGCACAGTGCTCTACCTTGTGAGTTTGCTGGATTAATTATTGAGTAGGACATGCTTTCCGATGTGAGGAGACAGCTTACAGTAGAGTGGCTGGAAAAGTATGGAAATGGCAGAGGTTAATATTTACCAGTAGTTCTGAGTTTAAAATACCTATTTATATGGGCCGAGAAAGTCTACAAAACTAGTTGATCAAAGAAACAACTTTTTTTTTAAATGTCAGTGTTCTTTAGTTCGTACAATGCTGATAAATTCAAGCAGGTATAGCCAGTGAAGATACATGGTATGATAGAGGAGTTTTTTGAGCCAAAAAGCACGTAAAACCTTGTTGATGCAAAGTTCCTGTCCACGTCTACCAGTCTGCCCTGTGACTTCTGCCTTCCTTCACATGAGCTGCCATTTGTGATCCTGAAATGTGACTCGGGGTGTTGAAGAGAAGCAGCAGAGTGCAGAGCCACATCGCCCAGGCCTTCTTCAGGGTCTCTCAGGTGTGCGTCCAGACTTGATCCTGACAGAGATTCACATGGGTTCGACACTTTGGGCATGGTATCAATGCCTGATTAATGGTTAGAGATTTCCATTAAAACCTGATTTTGATCTCTGTAATTCTATGGTAGAGAAGTCTACATCTGACAGTTAAAGTTGGTGAAGTGTCTTGGCTTGTTCCAAGTTTCTCAGTAATGAAATTTCAGCAATTTCAGAATTAGTCAGTGATGAGATGAAATTCCCCTGATGCCTCTCATTTCATGAGGATACTTTTGCACCTCTGTGTTGCAGTGCCATGCCCCAAGACAATAACATTGCAAGCAGCAAAAGCTAGGAGCCACTTCAGCACTGCAGCTAGGTTGGCACTTACTATTTGTTTCCTTTCTCCTAAATCCCTGAGAGCCACTCCAAAGTTGCCGGTGTGCAAATTAAGCTCTCATACAGGACACACGATTAGCATTTCTGTGGAGTTATGTCAACATTGTCATTAGTGAGAGGGAGCATTTAAGAGATAACAGCTTTCAGTGTTACTGCAAGGTATAACCAGTAAATTCAGCCTCACATGAGGGAAAGACAAACATTGAGTTTATCTGTTTTAAGACCACTGAATATATGAGAGAGCTGAAAAGGATTCTTATTTTTTTTTTGGTATTTGGATTAATTGTTTGGGTTTAATTTTGGCCTTAGTGAATTCAACAAAAGCTTTGTTGCCAACTTACCAGGGATAGGTTTTCACCAGTTTGGTCCTTCAGTGTTTGGAAGAGGAATAGCTGCTGACAGCCATTGCAACAAATATTTTCGCTGATGCGCAGTTTGTCAAGGAGTGAGGATTGCTGAGTGTATTGCAGGACGACACTTATCCTGGAAGGTGTAGATAGTCCTGATAGCCTGTTCTGTTCCTGGTTTAAGTCCAACTCTTTTAGTAACAAGCCCAAATTCTACATCGGCTGTGGGAGAATCAGGTTGGTGAAGCATTTTTATCTGTGATTTGTTTAGAGAAGGTGGAATCCACTGCTTTGGGTCATCTTTTAAGTCAGTGAGAACTGATCTACTTCCTTCTCTTTGCAGCTTATAGCTGAGTACCTCAAAATGTGTTTTTTCTGATTTTATCCCATGTCTCCAAGTTGTGTAGCTGGAAAGCAACATTGCAGTGACTGTGTGCCAAATACCTGTTAAGAATTACGTGGGAAGACAATAGAAACTGAGATTTTTAAAATAAAGGGAAGTACTCAGCTTCACTTTCCATTTTTTAGGAAGATGTACATCTTTTATTTCTTAAGAATTCTTTGAAAGTCCCAACCAGTGCTTCTAAAATCAACAATGATGCAGTAAAATGATTCTCTGCAAACTGTTCACAGTTGTTCAGTGGAGTACTGAATAATCCCACTCTTTTTTGTGTTTTTTGTTGTTTTTTTTATAGGGTGTTCCAGGACCACATGGTAATCCAGGTTTGCCAGGATTGCCAGGTCCAAAGGTGAGTTCATTTATCCATGTTGCCATGTAAATACATGAACTTCTTAATGACTTTTTGGAAGCCCCAGAACTCTTTCCTGTAATAGAAGCAATTGGCCTTCTTTGGTTTACAGATGGAGACTATTACTATAAACATATTTTAATTAAGTGCAATCAATCACATTGAACTTCAAATCAAGACAAAATAGCAGTTTATTCAGGGGGGAAAAAAAACCCAACTGTGTGTACAGAATGATAACCTGGAAACTGTTACCCATGCAAGTAGTCTGTATTTCCCAAGAAGTGTTCCTGTAAATCAGCTTGGCCTCTTTGATAAACTGGAATTTAAGTGAGAATGAACATTTAATTGCTCTAACCTTTTGCCTTGGGGTTTGGTTTTTGTTTGGTTGGGTTGGTTTTTTTTTTTTTTCCTAAAAGGAAGAAAAATATACTGTCATTCTCTATAAATTCCTTTTTTCTTTTTGTCAGTGCCCAACCTTTGATATTTAAATACTCTAATATTTCAGACATTATCACTTGATTAATATGCTACAATAATTTCCTGAAGATTTATGCATGTGGTATTTAAAACCAAAGAACAAATACTAGTCTAGAAGCTCAAATAAAACCCTTCAAACTTGTGTAACATAGGCCCTTTAAATAGTTTTGACAGATTTGTGCAGTTGCAGAATGCCTTCAACTCGTATTTAGTTTGAGCATTTTGATAGATATGTTAGGGGGAAAAGCAGCAGCAACCATGATTTGTTTTAGTGCGATTCCTAATGGCAGGAATCTGACCTGTCATGACAGGTGTTAAAAACTGCTTGAGGCCATAAAAAAAAAAAATGTAATAAAGCTTTTAGTGTCAAACACTGTAAAACCAAGTGACTCTCTTTTTTTGTGTGTGCTTTTGTTATTATCTAGTTCTATAGGAACAGTTAAACTTGGAGATTCATAATTATTTTTTACAGTATTTATGCTGAATGTATAATATAATACATCTCTAGGAAAATAATTGTAACCAGTTAATCCTAGGATTTGTTTTATAATGTATTTTCCCCCTCCACTGGATCATAATCCTGATCAGTTCTGTAATTGTCTCCATGATTTTAAGAATAGAAGGAACTATGTGTGTGGATGTACTTATCTATACTTACATTAAAAAAATATATATATATGCATATATTACTGGGTGCTTAGCGATCTCTTTCATTTCTGCTAGGCTATAAATTATCCTTTCAATACAAGTGTCTTTTGAAACACTTTTCTTTAAATAAAAATTAGCCAGGTCCTCACTGAGTTTTGACTATGAAAATCCAGTTGACCCACACTGACTGTGTAATCTGAAACGAAATACACTTTTGTTTGATCTTAAAACGTTGCAGACAAGTTGCAACAATTTTCTGGCAGTAACTTAATGCAGAATTTTATTCTGCCTTTAGGATGCATGCATTTTTCCCTCCTGTGCTGAAGCATCCTTTATGTACTTGTTTTTGAAGCATGGAGCAACATTAGCTAATACCCTTACAGTGTAGTATCCAGCCCTGGACGTGTGCTAGCAGTGCCAACTGATAGCTGACGTCCTTGGCATTTAATTCCTGATAAAGAGTTGATGGGTGTTTGTAAAGTCATTTAAAAGTATTCATGAGATTTGACTGTATTCCTGGCTCTCTGAAAAAATGGATTAGTTAAGAAAATCTAGTTTGTGGATTCTGACACTGTACATACACTGTAATGTCACATAGATTAAATAATGAAGTGCTTTATTTTATCCTTACATCTTGAGCTGTGGTGACACATTGTTAATCCGCAACTGAAGGCCATGCATAACAATGGCTATTTGTTTTTTTGATTAAAAACAATGAGGAATTAATTATGCTTATGAGGGAAAGGAAAGGCTATGGGTAGGTTATCAGAGGCCTACATTTTAACTAGCCGAGAGCTGGTCGCAATTTTTATTACAACTCTTAATTTAATGTGCCTGTGTTGGAAAATGGAAGCAGAAGACTGGGAGTTGTTCAAGGAATATAACTATTTACCTTCCAAAAGGTAAATCAGCTGGAAAATACTCGGATAACTCCTGCCACGCCGAAGAATGGTGTTCTCTCTGACCTGACACATCAATTTAACACAACAGATTCATTTTGCCGTATTTCCAGGCTTTATTTAGTATTTATTTAGTAGGATGAGAGGAAATGGGCTCAAGCTGCGCCAGGGGAGGTTTAGGTTGGAAATTAGGAAAAATTTCTTCACTGAAAGGGTGGTCAAGCATTGGACCAGGCTGCCCAGAGAGGTGGTGGAGTCCCCATCCCTGGAAGTGTTCAAAAAACGGGTAGATGTGGCACTTGGGGACATGGTTTAGTCTAGTCTACCCTTGATTGGTTTAGAGTAGACTTGGTAGTGTAGGTTAATGGTTGGACTGGATGATCTTAAAAGTCTTTTCCAACCTAAACAATTCTATGATTCTATGATTCAGCAGGCTTAGCTGCTTAACTGCAGAGGGGAGGGGTAAGCCCCGGCGGGGAATGTGGTGCGCAAGAGGAGGATCAGGCCCCGCAGCACTTCCAAAGAGCCGCGCCCGTGGCAGGTCTGACATGGCTGACCGTCGGCGCGCCTCGCGCTGTGTCCCTCCGAGCACCCAGCCTTGCCCCTGAGAGTGGGATTGCGCTGGCGATGTCCAAGCAGCTGCTCTTCCCAACTTCTAGCTCTCTTTCAATGGAGGGCACATATAATCTTTAACCTAGCACTGCTGGGGATAACTTCGATAGTAACGCTTATTTCCTTGGCTACGCAGAATGTATTTTTGAGTGAGAAGAGCAGATCTGGGTGCCTGTGAGTAACACCCGGTGTTACCCTACAGCTTTGAAATGAAGAGCGCTGTTGCAGCCTGTGCCATTGGTATAAACAGGTCAATGAAATGTTACGGTGCCTTTTGCATGCAGCTTTTAGTATGAATTTTAGACCAAGGGGCTTGCCATTTCCTCCTCCATTACCTTATTTTCAGTCATTAGCGCATGAATGTGGTTTCAGCCTACGGCTCTGGGAACTCCCCGGGGGACCGCTCGGTCAGCGTGAAGCAGTTCACCCAGGGCTGTTTCAGGAGGTACCGGGTGCTGGCGGCTCCTGTTTTAAGGGCGGTGAATTTGACTATGAAGGCGGCGGGTTTGCTGGGGCGGCGGAGCTGCCTGTGGCCACCAGCTCTGCGGGGCTGGTTGCCAGGCCATGCTGGGCTGGAGGAGACCCGGCTCCTGGCCCAGGCAGGCCTTAGGGCTCTGTGGCATGGTTGGACTGGATGATCTTCAAGGTCTTTTCCAACCTAAACAATTCTATGATGTCGGGCTGCAGTGCCCGCCCTTCGTGTGGCGGCGGGCTCTGGCAGCGGGAATTTGAAATGGGAGAGATCGGTGTGGCAGCGTCTTTCCCCTCTCTGCGGCCTAATCTTGGATGCAGACAGTAACTTCTGGCCGGGAACGATGAGCTGCCTCATCTGCTAAGAAGTAACTCGGACCTGAACAGAGGCCTTCGCTGCGTGTCTACAGCTCCGTCCGTCCCAGCCCCGATGTCTGCACTGCGTGGGGCAGGTACTGAGTGTAAGGAAGCCTGGATGAGGTCATAATCAGTGCAGTAATATAGCCCGATAATCTTGCACGGTGTTTGGGGAATAGGCGGTGTCCTGAAATGGTGGAGATATGGGGAGAGCATTTCAGCCCCAATGTCTGCTGTAATCCTGCTCAGATTTACCAGTAAATTCTTCTTATCAAATGATTTTTGTGACCGTATGATATTTGGAAAATGTAAGTCTCATTTTGATGTGAACTCACTATTGTATTTTGTTGTAGTTCTTCACTGAAAAAGTTGTAAGAAAAAAATCTGTAATAACAAGTGAATTTTATATGAACATTCCTCCTCCTCTGGCTATAACGGTGAAAATATTTGTTTGCAAATATGTTATTACAAACTCCTTTCCCCGATGATATTAATGAGCTTAATTTCTCTGCAACAGGGCCCTAAAGGAGACCCAGGATTCTCTCCAGGACAGGCAAAACGTGGGGAAAAGGTAATAGTTTCTTAATTATAGAAGAACATTTTGTCTGTTCCATTCTTTTGTTGAAGTCTTATTTAATATTCAGACAAGTTATAACAGCACAATACTTTGTACTTACTGCGACACTGGTGTATTTTGACACTTAATTGTGTGAGACTGACCAGTGCAGATGTAATGTACATATAATCTTTAATCTAGCACTGCTGGGGATAACTTCGATAGTTACACTTATTTCCTTGGCTACATAGAATGTATTTTTGAATGAGAAGAGCAGATCTGGATGCCTGTGAGTAACACCCGGTGTTACCCTACAGCTTTGAAATCAAGAGCGCTGTTGCAGCCTGTGCCATTTGTATAAACAGGTCAATGAAATGTTGCGGTGCTTTCCCTCCTCCCCCAACTGCATCAACCATAAGAAAATGCATCTTTTTTCCAGCTCCCTAGCATCTGAGATGCTCTAATTCTCATTCACGCATACCATCATGTAGTTGCAAGGTTTAAAGAACTTGAATGCGAATAGCCACATGCCACCATAACACTTAGGTCTACATGCATCTTTCATGTTGTCTTTTACACAGATTAGATTTATGCCATGTTTTATGTGGCACATACCATAATGGTGTCCTGATTCCTGGTTGAGGATTGCTGGCATAACAGTAACACAAACAATAAACAGTAATAGTTAAATAATACATATTAATTTGAGGTGAAACCACTCACTTCTGAGGGAAGGGTCACCTCAAGAATTCTATAGCTTCTTCACTATCATTTATGTTGGCTAAAGTAAATGTGGTGAGGTTGTGAACTAAGTCTGTTCCAGCCATGATTTGGCCATGTTGTATGATGCAGGAGCATGCACATTGCACCAGGTGGTTGCAGCTGAAGAACTGCTGCCTTTTCGATTTTCTTCATCTAAAAAAAAAAAATTGCTGCCCAGTAAAACAACATGGTACTTCTTCGTACCAAATATCCAAGAATGCAGAGAAGATATGAAGTCCTGCATGTTTATAGCCCTGTGTCATGTTCAAGTGAAACAGTGATTCTGGATGTTTTTGTTATACAGGGTGATCCAGGCCCCATAGGCTTTCCAGGCCCACCTGGGATCAAAGGCCAGAAGGTAAGATTCTGTTGCCATTTTCATGCAACCCTCCCTGGCTCAAATCCATGGCTATCAGGTGGATGTCTGGTGATCAAGAGGCGACAGAAGGGCTCTAGGCCTGCTGTTGGTACTGTGACTCTCTACTGTGTCAGGCTCCAGGGCCAACAGTGCAAAACCTGTCCTTGCAACTAAATCAAGTGAGATCACGGCAACAGAATATAAATCACAGATGCTTAAGTTGGTGTCCTTCAAAAGGCTTGGCATGGCCCTGACACAATAGGTACGAAGGAATATAGACTTGCCTGCAAGATACAGCCATTTTTAAATCAACTGTATTCAATTTTCAGTAATAGTTTTTTTCCTTTCTTTTTCTATATTGTGTATTTTGTAGTATAGAAAAAGCTCCACAGGATCATGTGCTCAGTATTTCTGCACTGAATTATTTGCTTTTTTTCCCAAATGTGTGCCAGAATTGCTGAAATGGAACTCGGGTGGAAAAAGTTCCAATTTTGGATGCTACATAACGCAATGTTTTTTAATATGAGAAATGTCAGGTGGCGCACACTGCATTTAAGAAATATCCAAATGATGGCAGTCCTATATATACAGGCAAGCATGAGGCAGACAGGTAGTTTCGGGAAGGGTACATGAAGGATGTCAATAGAGGAAATGAGACAATCTTAAGAAAATGAGTGCAGAAGACTGAAGGAGTGAATATAGTTTATGTGGAAGGAGACATGACCTGATGTAAGGCCAGTAGGCCACTCTGATTAGTCAGATGGTGACAAACTGGTGAGGTGGCAAAAATCAGCAAGAAAGCTGGGGGGAAAGTACTATTAAATGCTGTCTTTGCGGAAGATAGTTCAGTGTTGCAAGTGTAATAGAAAGACGTGGAGAACAGATGTCACAGCAGAATTTGAAGTAATATGTAACGCTAAAGGCAGCTGTAAAGTGTCCATCAAAAGGATGGAATGAATTGTTAGAAAGGTAGGCTTGGTATTTTTGGCCTTTAATTTTTGACATATAGAGAAGGAATATTAATTAAATACTTTCCTGCTGTTGAAACTAAAGAAAAATGGCATTGCAAACTTATATTCAGTGTTATGTTTTAAGATGGCTTCATTCAATGTTGTCTTCAGCTTAAAGTGACAATTTTTTTCTTTTTTTTAAGTCTAGTCATTAATTTCTAGAACTCACCTAAACGTAGTAAAAATGTGACCAGAAAAGGAAGCTATCATTGAATTAGCACCAGGAGGAGCGTGGAAATTTATTTTGCCAAACATATGGCCCACAGTTCTATGAACTGAGAAAATGTGTAGCTGTGACAAGAATTTGCATCCCCTCTGGTGAGAATTAACCTACAAGCCTGGACACTGATAGCTTTTGTCACGACTGATCTTGGGCCACCTTGAGATTGCCCAAGTATTGTGCTTTCTTATTTCTTCAGGTTTACAGTTTTTCTCTGAAAACAAAGTAGGTTTTGTTTTAAAGCTTTTTAGATGGGAAGCAGCTGTCACTTGTTCTGGATTATGAGACTGATATTTGGGGGCACGGAAATTAAAATCTTATGGCCATCATGCTTTCTTCCTGCCACAGGAATTCACTCCTTATCTGAGGGTTTTAGAGACTCTGTGGAGAATCATGCTCACTTGATCACTGGAAATTTTACTCTCTGTTTCCATGTTGTACACATCAGATGCTAACTAGAACCATGTTTAAGATAACTTCTTCCTGACCCAGATTGTAAGAATACCAGCTTTTGAACAGCACTACACCTGTAAACAGTTAAAAGTATTTCACGCTTAATTTTTTTAATGACAAGCTCATAATTTACTGTGTTTTAAGTAATTGATCTTTAGTTATTGCTTTTCAGTATATGTAAATAGGTGAACATGCTGTTAGCTCATTGTGATCTCAGGAATTATTTTCAAAGGAATGTGAGCACAAGTAGCTGTGAAGTAAACCAGCTACAGGAAAAAACTGCGGAACAATCAAGTACTTCCATTTTTGTTTTGTACCCCAGTACTACTGGGTAATTGCTATAATATTGAATAAATAACATATTTCTGATATTCTTTCTCATCCAGGTAAAAAGGAAAATCCTACACATGAGTTAATGGTGTCCCAAATTCTATTTGATTTTGACAATTGGCTTGTGTTAACCGAATAGCTTCTAAACAGTGAGATATTTGATAGCAAATAAAAACTCTAATGTTCTTCCAGATATTTTTAATAGTGTAATAAAATCTATGTTCATTTCGTGGCAATTCCATTTTGTCATGTTGACTTTTGTCAGTGTTTTCCTGAAAGACCTAGAAATCTGAGGGTTTTTTCTTTATGGAATTCATCATCCATGAAGCGGAGGTGCACTGCAATGCCTGCTGCTCTCCACAGGGCATGATTGCCCCACTCCATGGTGGCTGTGGAGGAGGAAACTGCGCTTAACGAGTTTTCTAATCAGAGTTTGCCTTATTCTGAACTTCCTGTGCAATGTTATTTGGTGTTTACACTAAAACATGTGTTGTGGAAGAGTGAGGCAAGTGTGCATATTGTTTTCACTTTTTTTGACACGAATGACTTTGAGAAGCCATATTCCGTGTGCTTTTGGTTCTGTTTTCCTGAGATCGTGTTAGGAGAGTTTCTTGGAAAGATTAATTGTACCAAAAAAGAAAAAAAAAAAAAAGGCTTTTGAAGCCCATAATGCAATAGAAAAGCACTAGCAAACTACTGTTTTGGATTAGAACTATAAAATGATGTTTCTTTTTATAAAGCTGAGAATCTACATGTTTTTTTAATGAGATAGTAAAACAAACGTATGTTAATAATCAGGACTCTGGGAAGAGATTATTGTGATTGACTTTATTTTTCATTACACACCATGTGTCGGAGTATGCATCCTTGTGGTTGCATATAAAATATGACATATTTCTCATGTCTGTAACACACTATAAAAAGGCAAGTTTTGCTCAGGGTAGGGCTCCAAATTTGTTCTAGCATAAGAACAGAAACTTTCATGTTTATGAAGTGTTTAGAGGCCTGTTTCTTTCATCTTTTGAAGCAGAGAAGCAATGGCGGGAGATGAGGGATAGTTTGAGAGTGCTGTTTCTAGAGCAGTTGCATGGATCTCGTATCTGGAGCTGTCTTGCCAGGGCCATCTTTAAATCAGCACTCAAGACTTTCCTTATATCAGTCCAGAGACCTCGCAGAACGGAAGCCCCCTCCTTCCCCCCCTCCCAAAAAGGGCCTGCTTCACTGTACGGACAGGCGAGTACTTGCCTCTGCTAGCCAGCATCCTGGGGGGTAGATTGTCAGCCAAAGGACAGGACTCCTGGGCATTAACAGTGCCGGGGATCATGTCAATATGTTAGAATGACTGCAGTGCCTGTGTGGTTGCAGGTACTTCACAAGATCATTGGAAAAGATTTTTTAAAAGATTGGCTGCAGTTTTTGGGCTACTCTGTGAGAGAAATTCCTCTACTGAATTAGATGGAGAAAAGGTCCATCTTCTATATGTACGCTTTTTTTTTTGAAGGGGTATTTCCATTTAGTAGGATATTCCAGCTAAGAGATGCTAAGTGAAATCTTAATTGTGTTAATAAACATTGGCAAACAAGATAGAACAGAGCTATGAAGGAAAAAAAAAAACCTAAACCATTCGCTGATGAAGTAGTTTGTCACCACATGGCATCCAGTTTTTCAATGTGGAGCTGATAAGTAAGTATTGCAAAGGCTCCTGTGACAGTGCATGGAAATCTGTTTATATGCTAGACTTAACCCATGCCCAGAATTTTTTTTTTTCCAGCACTTTTTGAAAGACTAATATCTCTCTGCAGCTGATGGTTGTAGCGTTAGGTGTAGCACTTCAACTACTGATTTTTAGAGGTCACAGAAACTTCTTGGCTCTCTAGCAAAGTTGCCAGTGTTGTGCCAGGTGTATTTTAACAAATGCATATAAATTCTAATAAAACACAATGGGCACCAGTAAGATGGAAAGACTTGGCTTGAACAGTCCTTGCTGTTATGATTTAACATCTACATTTTGCTATATACAGATTTCACTCAGTCTGGGTCCCACTGTGCTAGGCATATGGTAGAAGTCAGACACTTAAACTTGCTATGAAGTCTTTTCTGAGTTGTATTAGTTGGCGGTAAAGATTTTTCTCTCACACAGACCAAAGCATTCTTGCAACTTGCTATGTTTTTGTAGTGTGCTTGAAGTCTATATTACTGTAATTGGAAGATTCAAACCTTTCTCTTCGATGCAGAGTTTTTAAATCAGAGCATTAATCTTCATTAGAAATTGGGAGATATTTCATTTTGCAAACCAGTGCATGTGAACTTGTATTCTTCTTGTTTACTTTCATCTTAGTTCAGAGCAAACTGAGTTTTATTTATATGGGTATACTCAAGAACACGAACCCAAACTAATAAAAAGCTAAGACTTTTAAGAGGATTAGCTAAGTCACAGGAAAGGAAAACTCTATGTGAAAAATCTCTCTGGAATGATACTCAGCATGGTTTAGCTTCATTGCCAACCAGCATTTAGTGAGTTAGAATGAATTAAGGCCGTGTTAACTCTGAGTAAGAATATAGGCATTCTACTTTAAAGTATGAGTTCAGAGCAGGTCTCCTCTGGCAGAAGAAAGATGCTGTTGTGTACCAACATGCATAGCAGTAATTAAGTCTCCTTCTTCATCTCACAGTTCCTTGTGTGCCTTCTTTTGAGACTGTCCATGCAGGTGTTAATCGGCTAAACTGACCCACTTTGAAACTAAATTGTGATAAACTTCTCTTTCAACGTTTCTCTGTATAGTAGCATTTGCTCTCCATTTCTCCTTGTATGGAAATAATAAACTACTTGAGAGATTTCTTCTAGCAACACCTACTTCAGCTGATCATTTAAGCATAGGGAGGATAAAATTCTGAAATGGATAAAACTCATTAAATACAGAGTGGGCTGGGAGTGTAAAAAAACCTCTATACGGCTTTCTGAGGCACATTTTGAAAGCTGAAGATGAGTTACTGGCTTATGCTGGCTGGCATCTTTAGGTCTGCTTTAGCAATTCAATAAAAAAAATTTGGTTTAGGCATACATCAGTGTAGTAAATTGGGATATTTCATGCTAACTGGTTAATCTAAAATCAGCTCCTGGCTATCTGTGTTACAGATTCCCGCCCCTGCCGCCCATCCCTGCCCCTCCCCCACCCCCCCCGCGCCCGCCCCAACCAGCAATGCAGACCTGCTTCCTTAGGTACAAGATAACATATGTAAATTATTTAGACTTAAGCTACAGGAGAGGATTGAAGCCAGAATACATTATAATTTTGCAAGCTGGCAATGCCCTGTGTGTGATTAGCAAAATGAAAGGACACACCTGCTGTATAGGGTTTTGAGAAAATGAGGCCTTTGGGTTTCTTAATGGGTACATCTCTTTTGGATCAAGATTCCTCAAGCAAGCCTATAATAGCAAAATTGCAAATGTTGAAGCCTGACAGATGTCATTCTCTTCTCTTATCTAAAATTATCACCAAGCAAAATCATTCTATCTTTTAATTTTGTATGTAATAATAAAATTAATTTTATGCAGAAACTCTTGTGGTCATGCAGAAGCTTATCCAAAACTTTGGGGTACCTGATCTGCTGAAATCAGTTGCAGAATTCCTTCTTATTACAGTGGGTCTCAAATCTCTACCGACTAGTAAGTATCATCATGCTGTAAGGCAGCCAGATGTTTGACATCAGCCAAGACACTCCCGCTACTCTGTCAATGTCTTTGAGGCCAATTTTCTGATAGATTTCTATCCAGAATAAGGATTGGTTTGGTCTTTCTCTTTCAAGCTGCAGCTTTTGGAACTTGCGTATTCCCAGTACCTCTTGCAAGGGATGTGGAGACCAGACACTTGGCTTCTGCATCAATCATGCAACTGTTACAGCCTCCTTTTTAGGCCAGCTTGTCTGGGTATGTTTAGTATAGTGTAAAGACATCCAAGAAGAAGGTTCCCCTTTCAAGTGTTCTGATGCAGATGGCAGGTTCCAGCTCTATTTTTAATTCTTTTTTTTTCTTTAAGAGCTAAAATATGTATGAAATGGTCAATGCACAGGGAGTAAAGTTTGACAGCTTCATGATTTCAGCACCACAGGGAAGACTTCTGGGATGAAGAACAGGCTATTCTCCCTACCAATATAAATTCCATAATATAAGGGCTGAAATTTGTTCTATGTTAATTTTAAAAAGTGATATCGTGTGTCCTGGAAGGATGACCCTCTACTTATACTCCTCCTCTGAACTGCTTTGTTCAGAAAGGGCATAGTGACAAGGATTTGGAATGGGGAAGTGCACTGCACCAAATCCAGTTCTGCAGTTTCATCAACAACTGGGGACAGCATCCCATGTACTCTTTTGGTTGAAAGAGTACAAGTCTGGAACTGTCTTTAAGCATGCTGATACCTTGAAATTGTCTGAACCGCCGTGAATATTTCTTACTCCTTTTCTCTAACTCAGCTTTCATATAGCTGCTAAATGTAAGCCACACTAATGGTGCAGGCAAACAAGTTTGGATAATTTTTTTTTTCTTGATAAAGAGAGATTGGAGTAGGCAAAAAAGGTCCATTTTGTGTGTTTAACTGTATCACATATCTGTTTCTCTACCTGCAGGGTCTTAAGGGTTATCCGGGACTGCGAGGGCCACAGGGTGAGCAGGTAAGTGATGAAAGCACAGTACACTATACTCTACAGATGAACAATTGAGGATAGAAGAATGCATAATCCAATGTAGGTGTTCAATACAAGCTATCAGTGTAGATTACTGACTGCTTAAGGAAATACTTGATCGTTCTTGACCAAGAGTTCAGGTTATTTAGAGATAAGTGTGGTAAGAAATGGTCTAAATGAAATGGAAAAGACCAGCTTGATTTTCTTCAACTACCACACTAGCTTGGTGGGGTTTAATGTAAAATTCTTGTTAGAGGCACAGATCTCATTCTCTCAAAACCTCTACCAGTTTAATGCATTTTAAATCTCCTAGCATGTAGAAAATGAAAAGGTTATTTAGTGCTTTTTCTTACTCCCATGTCAGTTCAAGAAGCAATCTGAATGTAAATTTCAAAGACATCGAATTGCTGATGCATCTTGTTAGCATTAACGAGGCTCCTCATGGCAGAGTAGGTGGAAGAATGAGTCTCCTTCCGGATGACACTGAAAGGAAAACAGTGATGATAACAGATGATACTCATGAACATCATCTATGACTAACGAGTTTTATACACAAATTTTAGCTGAATGACTGGTGATTTTTGTTATAGGCCCATGGGTGTTTTTCTGTGATGACTATAATTTTGCAGTGAGATAAGGAGACAGCCAGTGAAAAAAAAAGTTATTCTTAACACTAGTAGAAGAGTGCCTCAATCTTTGAAGTTGCAGGTGAAAAGTAATCAGTTAGTTACCATGGAGGGGAAAAAGTGAAGCTTGCATTGAAAAGTAGTTCTATTAATTATTTATGCAATCAAGCGTATAAGTTCCTTCAAAGGCAATTCATGTTCAAAAGTGTGAAAACTGGGGATGTGCAACTGTTTGATATCTCTGTGTTCTCATACTGCTGCTGTAAATATTTTCCTTTGTTATTATCATAGAATCATAGAATGCTTTGGGTTGGAAGGGACCTTGAGAGATCATCGAGCCCAACCCCCTGCAGTAAGCAGGGATTGAACCTGTGAACTTGGCGTTATTAGCACCGTGTTCTAACACTCAGAAAGTACTCCAATGTAGCTTTTAAAAGAGAACTTTGGATGCAAGAGTTTTATTTTGCATGTAGTTCTTGCTGCTGGTATTTTCAGGCCTGGCTGGTGAAGGTGATAAGTTAGGCCAGTTACTAGTTGTCTGTAGCACCTACCTGTGTCTGTAGTTTTTAGAAGCTTGTACAGCAAGGACAGACATTCCTCTGAATTTGTGAACTGTGGAACCTCTTCTACAGCTGGTAACAAAGGAGAAGTTCTAAAAGATAAGTTGTAAATGCAACGATCGTACTGCTTCTTTAGTTTTTTCATATACGCATATTTTGAGGTACAACTGAGCCATAATAGGAGACCATGGATCCTAGCTCCATGGTGGAACATCTATCAGAGGATGAGTCACTACTGGTTGAAAGCAGGTGACAGAATCATCTCAGTGGCAGCTGATTTTAACAAAAAATACTGCAACCCCTTTTTGCATCTGCACTTCTGAGTTCTGCTTCCTAAGACTGCTGTTTCGCCATAAATCAGCTGTGAACAGCTCAGAGAGGAAGCCCTGATTCATTGCTATGGTTAACACTGACATGACAGTGGGTGGAAGGGTCAGGCTGGGCGAGTGTCCAATTTATGGACTTTCTTGTTTAAAATAAAATTAACTGAACAGAGGTAGGTGGAGCTTCCTATGTCTCGGTGATGGGGCCATGGCATTTGGCACCATTTCAGAAAAGCAAGTTTTTCTAAAAATAAACAGATGTGCAGATGTTAAGTAATAAACCAACAAAAATGACTTTTGGATTTGATTAGGAGGAAGAAGATAGAGAGAAGTTCTATACATTTGTGACTAATCCAGTGCTATATTGACCTGATTCTGGAAGAAACAAAGAAATTTGGCTTTGTAAGGACACAATGATTCTTCTTTAATGAAACATTTAACACATTTGTTCAAATACAGCTAAGACCAGTGCAGTTGCTTCATTATAAGGACTGTCTCCTATAGTCCTCCTCAATTACTTTTTATAAAATAGCATCTATGTTTTTATTATGGAAATAAGGGGTGCACTCTTGTATTTCACAAAATCTTAGGCTACTCTGCTTGTAAAGCTTTTTTTAAAGGATATGTAACTGCAATTGGTGGAGTTACTTATATATGATGAGTAAATTTTAGGGTGTTGCTGTGTAGCTTGCTTAAAGAGAAATTCTTCCATGACCTTAAGCTGTGCCATATGATTAGGTGTTAGAAGAGAAATGATAAAACAAATAAACTCCAAAACATGACATTAAACCTGTTCATTGTTTCTTTCCCCCTTTTTTTTTTCTTTTCTTTTTCCCACCTCTTTTTCCACTTAGGGAATTCCAGGAATGGCTGGCAATATTGGGGCAGTTGGTTACCCTGGCAGGCAGGTGCAGTAACTATACTAATGTCTTTGAAGTTTTGGGGGTTTTCTCATTTGTTCTTTTCAAAAGTACCATATTTAACTCTTTTGGAACTACTAATACTGTAAATGTATTTGTTTACACCCTATCATTTATCCTTGAAACAAACCTCTTTCACAGGCAGTGCCCTTTAGTAATGTTGAGTCTTGTGGATTTGGATGGGTTAGGTGCCATAATGCTGTACCTTTCTGGAATACATAAATGACATTACTAAAGTACTAAATGTCTAAACACTTTATGCTCCTTCATAAACCTCTTGTGGTTCTATGTGTTTTATTTTCTTCATATTTCAAGTCCAGAAGCAACAGGAAACTGCCTGTGAAGCATAGTTCCTCCTGATTTTCACCAATGTATTTACATCACTGCTGAAACTATTTCTTCAGCCCTTTTGGGGAACAGAACGTTAAAAGATTATTTTTTTTTCCCCATTCAGACATTTGAAGAGACCCAATAAAGCCAGAAAGCAGCTTTCTATAAACACAAGCACTTACATAAATACTGATTTTATTTTTTTATTTACATATAAGCTAACAGATACCTCAGTCCAGTAATACAAATAAGGCATAAAGCAGAAATATTCATTATTTTCCCCATATAAAGATATATGAGCCAAATCCAACAATTGGCTTTACACTTTTGTGTCAGCTTAAAGGGTGAATTTGACCAATACATCATTATTTTATTTGTAATGGCTATATATTTTAAAATTCCTTTACAATATTTTATATAGTAATGGATGATAACGTGTTTGTGTTGAATCACATAACATGTTTAGAGCATTTGGACTACATACGCTATTCTGACATTAGCTTGAAAATAATTGGAAATGTGTCTAAATACAAAAGCTTATGAAAAATCCTGTGAAATTATGTCACTGTAATGCCAGATCACTGGATCTGGAAAAAACTTTCCTCCCAGAAGAAATAATTTTAATGTAAAGGAAGTTTCAGTCATTGTCTAAGTTTCACCTATGAATTAATGGGAGATCTTTCTGAACATGGTCCCAGGGGGCTGCTTGATGACACTCTTCAATCCTAATCATTTTAAGAATGTATTGCCAGTTCGCAGTTAAAAAATACCGTTACAGTTCTTTTAAATAGAGCATATCTGGTTGTTTAAAATGAAGTAAAACTCATGTCTTTTTGTAATAGGGCTTAGCTGGACCAGAAGGTAACCCAGGTCCTAAAGGTGTAAGAGTAAGTAAACATTTTAAGCATTTTGGCATGCATGTCTATTTTTATCCATACGTAAGAAAGGGGATGAGGAGTTTCATTCAAAAATGCTGAACCACTCTGTCTTTACGGAACCTGCAAAAGAGAAAATGTAGTGTTTCTTTCAAAATACATGTAAGGATTTAATTTTTTTTTTTTTCTGTGGTGAGCCTATGGTGAGCAGCATAGAGCAGTCTTACATTGTTGCCCTTCCTCTGACTTGCAATGCACACAGGCAAGAGGAGGAAAGCAATACTGAATGTGGATGTGTGAGAGCTGGGAGTGAAGAGGAGCGATCTTTCCTGCCTGAAGCATTATTTCCATAATGGAAGCTGTCAAGAAGGGAGACATATCTGGCATTTGCGATCTGTAAACAGCTAGAGAAGTTGATAAAGGGAAACCGTCCTGTCACATAAAACCATAAAAGTGGTCTTGAGATTTTAGAATAGTTCAGCTGTAGTCATGTATATCCCAGGGACTAAAGGTTCTTAATGCTCTGCTGATTCAAGGTTCGCTTTCGGTTATTCTTGGAGGTAAAACAGGTTGGCTTTTTTCTGGGTGGGTTGGTTTGGTTTTCGTTTGTATTTTGGTTTTTTTTTTTAATAGGCACCTGTGCATGCCTACGCATGCTTGTATAAGTATTTTTTCAGACGGACTCTCACCATCAGGCAGTAGACCTGGATTTCCAGAAACTTGTATGTTGGAAGTTGCAGCTAGGATTTGAAGGAGCCTTTTGCTAGGTGTTTTCAGGCCCTCAGCTCATGCTGTAAAGGTTGCTGAGCAGTGTGCTGTCTTCTCAAGCATCTATTAAAATAATCTTATTGTATTGCTAGATTTGCTTTTGTCCTGTTTTGTTAATGTAGTTTCTAAAAGCCTTTACCTGCAGCAGCTTCTTAAGCATATGTCTGGGTTTTTGGGGTGGGTTTTTTTGAGTTTTCATTACAGAGATGGAAAAAATTAATTTGTCAGGATCAAGTGCCAACAGATATTGCGCTCTCAGGGATTGTATCTTTTACATTTCTTCAGTTTATTTTTGCTCAAATTCTCAATGAATTTTGTCTCTTCTCAACCAACAAGACATTAAGTGATCTCAGTCATTTCCTGAAAAGTTACTACTTCTCTGTTTACAGAAAGCTAAAAATGGCCAATGTACAAATAATTTTAGGGAAAAACACCTGTCAGGTCTCAAGGTTAAGTCCTATATATGAATTCTACAAGCACCTTCCAATAAAAATGATAACACAGCGCTGTTGAGACATACTATAGTGCCATGGAGGTGTATAGCAACATGATACGAAGTATCTATAGAGGTTTAAGTGTAGAACATTCTTGCAATCAAACTGTACTCTGCTTCTCAGCTGTTTTAAGAAACTGTAGAAAAAAGCTGTGCCTTTGTTTTCCTTAATCTCATTAGGGGTGGATGATAAGATGGGCACTATCTTTCGTAATTAAAAAAAAAAGGCAACCCAAAACCCATGGAGAGAGAGAGATGAAAGCAAGGGATTCTTTTTTAGTAACTAATAATATTTTTGTTCCAATCTCAGTTTGAATCTGGTAGTGCAGGATCCATCTATACTCCTATTTTTTGTAAATTGTGCTATCATTTCTGCTGAGTCAACAGCATGTTTCTGTGTTCATACAACTGATTATATGAGAGGATCTATTTCTGACTTTGAGGGGAAGGTGGGAGAGAAAAGCATTGTGACTGAACTTTAAGGAAAACATTCTGCTTATGACAAGGTAAACTTTCTAGGACTCTTGCATATATCAGTGATCACAGAGTGTTATTAAAGATGAGAACACCTTTTCTGATGTATTTCATGAATAAGGTCAACTTCAGCAGCTTTTTCATATTTCATTTATTCTAATAAATAAGGTCTCTGATGCAACTTTATCTTATTGGAACGCTTTCTTAGTACTTCTTTATTAGTTGATTCTGTGCTGTTATAATACAAAGTTGGTTTTTATGTTGGTTGGAGAATAAATCCTAGTCACATTTAAGTTGATTGAGCTTCACTGGTAATTTCAAATGAGCCTGAATTTAATCCCTGGGTCTTGAACCCACAGCTGGCCAATACCGAGGGACAAGCAGTGTTAGTGGGAAGCAGCCTTGTAATCAACAATTGTTCTTATGTTTTTAGGGTTTCATTGGACCTCCAGGTGTGGCAGGACAACCAGGACCTGAAGGAGAAAGGGTAGGTTTAATGGAACATTCATGAAGTATTAATGATTGGGTGGTAATGCAATGTATGTTAGAATGGGGAAAACAAGTACAAGGTATAACCATTCATTTAAGTCTTTGTCTAACAGGAAAACTGATGTGGAGGAAATTAAATAAATAGGTCATACATAATTAGTTGAATCAATGGAATGCACTGGTGCTGAAGTTAAATGGGGAGCAGCTGCAAATTATTATTTGAATTCAATCTAGAGCTGCAAGGATTAGGGGTATTTTTTACTTACCACCAAGGTCCATAATGAGTATTTTTCATTGAAGCAATTTTGTTCAGTCAGTAATTAATATTTATCAGTTGTCAGATGATCTTTGCAATAAAACCAATCATGGAAATCTTAATCTCCGTCACTCTGTGCTTGAGCTTTTTCTTGCTTCTATTGAGCACAAAGGATGTCTGGCCACGTACTTTGATGGAAGCAAGATATGACCCTTCTTCATAGTTGTTCTGATGTGGCCACAGTAAAGACAAGGAAGACTTGTGTTTCTGCCTTCTTTGCTCAGATCTCTCTCTTTTTTTTTTTTTTTTTTTTTAAAATGGTGCTGCTTCTCACATTGTCCTTTCCAATCAAATGCAGGTTTAATTACTTGAATTTAAGCTACTGAAGAAAAGAAAACCTACTTATGATGGGTTATTTCTTTCTCAGGGCATCCCAGGTTTCCAGGGAAAAAGAGGTCCTAAAGGGAGACAGGTAAAGCTTCTAACACTTGTTACAATTTCTGCTGCCAATGTAAATGCACCTGTAATTCACTCAGTAACTTTCCTCAGCTGAAAAATGTTAGTTTTATTTTTCCCATAGATGACTTTCTATTGTTTCCAGTTAGTACTTTGCAGTATTGCGAATTCTGTGCAGGTTGTAACTACTAGATGTTCTGAAGTGAGGAAGACTTAACATGATGAGCCCTGTGGCTGGTTACTGGTATCAGCTGCCTGAGGGTTAAAAGATGACAGAAACACATGAATATATTCTGTAAAATTAGTGTTAGCACAAGGTACAGATATGATGCAAGTTTTGTAAGTCTGATTCTGGTGTTGGTTTGAATGCAAATCAGCTGCTTCTAATGTCTGATATTTCTGGACTATGGTAATTTAAAGCTGTCCTCTACTTAACATATATTTCTACAGTTGAGAATAAACACAAATCTGTCAAGTATACATTATCAAGGTTTACATATTTTCTGTGGTATATCTTCAATGCCAAGTGTTTTGTTTTCTGCTGCAACCTTGTTATTTTAGGTCTTTGAAGCTATCCAGGAGTTTCCAATTTTAACTTGCTTGTGGTTTGAGATTGGAAACTGCGATAGCATTCTCCAGTTGTGCACTCAGTTGTACTCAGCAGTTCAGATGACTTTCATCTAGCACGTCGGACAAGCTTGTTCAGCAGTGGTAGTGCAATTACCATCGTTTAGCCCTTGAGGTATGCTGTGAAAGTTGTGGAGGATTCTGTTTAATTATGTTTTGTTTTCTGTGTGATCTAACACCAGCCAAAAAAGGCACTAGCCTTCAATAGAGCTCCTTTTGACGTAAAGAAAGGCATGCAGAGAAAAGTATCATTAAGTTGATAGACTGCTCTTTGACTGCAGCTGTCAAATTATTAAGGTATAAAATCAAAGAATCTGTTTTCTCATTATTCAGCTAGCAGGACAGGGTGCTTCTGTACTTGCTGACCATATTGTAGTTTGCTTATAATTTGAATCAAATGCTACTTGGTGCATCTGAGTGTTGGGCAAGAAGGGGTCTGTGCCGTCAGTACCTTGCAGTAGCAGTAATTGGCAGCGTGTCGTGCTAGTGAGGCATGAGCAGCATTTAAGAAGGAGGAGAACCTGGATGGAAAGCCAAGGCTTGTGCTCAGTGTGGAAGAGGAAGAGGAGGTGACAGCAGGGTACTCTGAAAACATGGCTTGCATTACAGTCTCATTCTCAGTGGCAGATTTCAGTGGGGCTTGTGATTCCCAGTGTAGCAGTTTGTTTCAATCCATAGCAGCTGGTGCTGTGCATGCTGTGGTAAGCAGTTATTTTTCATTTACAATAAGAGCACAACTTTTATCAGTGCCAGGCTATGCTCTGATAAGGACTTTTATTTATATAAATCAATTCAGAGAGGTTTCACATAGGTGACAGAGCACCAAAAGCACCTCTGCACAATGTCTGTGATTGCCTTCATTCAGTACTGATTCCTCTGTAATGTCATCATTTCCTCAATCCCAAGGTTCCTTCCACATCCTTTCTATGATCTATAAAGTACTTATTTGACTAAAGGCTACTAATATAGGGACCAAACCAGGAGAGCGATCACATGGGAACCTATCTTGAAGTTCTTTGCTGGATCATGAGCTTAGAGAATGCATGTTATTTTAACCCCGGACTATGATAGCTGTGATAACATCTTTCAACACAGTGTAATGGAGTTAATAATGACAGTGCTTTGAGGGAGGGCACTATTACTAAAGGAAATTTGGCATGGGAATTGCATAGTGCCTGAAGTCAGGCTCCTCGCCTTGCATTCTAGGATGCAACTTATTTCTTTGGACAAAACTTCTGTCAATAATAATACTTGGGAAAAAATACTGCCTGACTCAGAGATCCTTCTGAAAGAAAACAGATCCTAAATATGATGTCATTTTTGGAAAGTAATATAAAAGTATAAGAAAAGTGGATCGTACAAGGGATTGTACACTTACAATTTAAAATGCTACTACTTAGCAGGTTTATTGAGTAGTTATTCATATTTGTAATATCTCTGGCATATTTGAAATGGGACAAAATATTCAATGATCTGCATCTTTAATGTGAAGATTACAGAGTGAGGATTTGTTTTAATTTTGGATTAGTTTTGCATACAATATGCTTTAAGGAAAATATTTCATAGTAAAAGCATATGTATTCAATTTCTTTCCATTGTATGCTTCTAATATAAAATTTAGCTAGTTCTGCAGTATTTTTAATGCTTTGTCTGTCCTGTGAGTATGATGCATAGTGCTTTTACATACATAGTTTGGCCACATTTGGGGGAATGTTTTTACGTAGCTTTTTTCTATATGGGATTAGTTACAACCAGTGGTCAATGTGACAGAATAGACCTTGTAAGTTATACCAAGAATTTATTAATCAAGTCAATTGTAACTGTAAGAACAGTTAGGTTCTCTTTTATATTAAAATTATGAATAGTAGTCCTTTGTATGCTTCATAGTAATGTTAAATTATAATACTGATACAATAAAACACTTGTTGCACAGTAGTATTGTTATATTATGTCCAATTTTAGGCTTTTCTGACTGTTCTCCTATGTTGTATTTTCCTTTAATTTTTCTACTTACTAAGATAATTTTATCAGCATCAGTTAGAATACATGTGCTGTTGAGAATGGGGTTATGATGACTGTGGGTAACCTGTCCCTTTTGTAACTCATGCTATGCTGGGTTCCTGCTGTATATAAGCCATCATCTGTGACCTGCATCTATGATCTGGTGGCTGGTAAAACTGTCCCATTGCATCCTCCATTTAGCTTTTGATGCCTCATTTGTCTGTTTTTAAAAAAATTTTATATTCATATGTGTTATGGCAATTCTGCCGCTCCCAACATCTACCAATGGTAGGCAGTACAACCAAAATAGGATGATATTAAGGAAAGGGTAGTAAATTATCTTTGTCTACATCCTATCAGCTGGTAGGTTTTAACAACATAGGCACCATCAAATACCCATTTTGCATGTGTGAAATTTTACAGTAGATTTTCAGAGTTGTGCAAAAGTTTGGCCAGTGGTGTACAGATTGAGAATCAATGAAATCTGCTTTATTGACCATTAACCTATGAACCTCTACTGTTTAAATAAGACAGTAACGATACAGATCTTACAGTTATGGCTATAGATTTTTATTTGTGAGTTCTGTGATCAGATCCTGAGTAAAAATTTCATTGTTGTGAGAGGCATTCCTATCTTTTGCTTTCCTGAATTTGCAGGAGAATGCAGAAAAAAACTCCAACAGAAACAAATGCAAAAGATGGTACGGGGAATGTTAAGCATGTCTCAGATTAAATCGCAGTGTTATGCATAATGATGGGAATTAAGAGCCTATTAAGTTGTTTCAGCATATTGTTCTAGCAGTGTGTATGCATATATATACACACATAAAAAGTTGCCTTAACTTTTGTAGAGTTTTGGTTTAAGTTATTACTAAAGCCAAGTATGTCTTAAGCAGTACTTAAACTATTTTGGTTTATGGTATGATTTTTCCACCTCCTTGCTGCAGTTTTATATCCTCTTCCTGACTGCTGTTCATATATTATTGTATGAAGATGCATATTGCCCATTCCATTAAGGAAAGACACTGCCATACTAAGTCCTGAGCTGGACAGCTATGTGGATGTCCTCCAAACAAGGCAGATTAAAAAGGCCAAATTAATTGTACCTTTGACCTGCAGCAGGTTTGAACACAGCCTTACAGAGGTGAAAGGTTAATGCCTCAAAGTACTGTTCCTGATACACAGGGAGGGATAAAAAGACATTCAAACATTTAAAAGACAAATAAGATTATTTCATGTAAAAATTATTGTAAGGATGGAATTTGTTCCTTTTCCCCATGGAGATGCAATAGTAATGCTCTTTCTTGAGGTCAATGCATCTCTCAGCTCAGTGCTTTAATATTGCGTGAGATTTTTCAGTTCCCAGAAAAGTTGCTTTCCTGTGAGTGTCTTAGCTTGGATTTTTTCCAGGCAGAATCCCTTTCCAGCTTGGTATTTTGCAGATTTTGTGATAGGCTCTGCCTTGGGCCTTACAATGTAATTAGGAAGGATGTTGACTTCTTTGTAGATCTGTGTTCCATCCTTTCTCGTAACTTTATACAGTGATAGGAATTATGAAAACATTTCATGGTGCTGCTTCAAACTAATAGCATGAGTTTGCTATTAGCTTTATGTGGCTCTTCCAGAGAAATAGTGAGATCTGCCTGGCAATAGTACAC